CCGCCATCAACTGAGTTTGGTTGTTCAATTGCAAGCGCATAGCATCAAGCAATTGAACCAACTGCTGCTCTAGAGTCAAAGGAGGAGATTGCGGATCGGCCATAAAAATGAATGAAAAAGAAAGAGCAAAAGAAGAGAAATGACAAAAAGCTGGAAAGAAATGGTAGATCTAGACAATGCAAAAAGCTAGATCTAAACCAAAATCCTAAAAGGAAAGAACAAAAGAAAGGAAATGGAAAAAGCTAGATCTAAACAATGCAAAAGCTAGATCTAAACCGAAATCCCAAATCCAAGCACTCCCCAGGGACAATCAAAGGTGCCCCTCACCTCCACCAATGTGAGTGCATGGAATATGGAAAGGGAATACAGAAATGTGCATATCAATTAGCCCAAAAACCCTAATTTATATACAGGAGCGAGTGGTCCGGATTGAAACCAATCCAACGGCTACCAAAATCCACTACGCTAATATTAGTATACGGCATCGTAGCCGTACACTTGGCCCTCACAAAACGTATTTTAGTTGGTTTTTATTATTTCTATTTTATACTATGTTTGTCAGAAAGTATGATTACTCAGTATAAAATATATTATTATATAAAACTGTATAAAAACCTTTATATATGTATTGATATTTAATATAATTAATTAATTATAAGCACCCATATTTCTGAGGAAATTATACTAAAATATGCTTTTAGCTAGTTAGACACTTAAATAATGTGTTAACATGAATATAATGGTAAGGACTCTTTTCAAAAGTGATTTCTTAAAAGTTATATATTTTATTTTTGTATAATTAAACAGTTATAATCGAATAATAAGTTATATTTTTATAAAACCTTTTTATAATTTAGTTAAACAAAGGGCTAAAGGGGTGTACTTTTAAATTACTTAACTTATAAAATTGTAATTCAATAGTTATAGTAGCATTAATCATTTTTGGTAATAAAATTTTTTTAGATAATGCTAACTGGTTCACACTCCCATTAAATTAGCTAAGTTAATGATACTCTATTCACACTAGGAACAGTAGTGTTTGTTCTCCTTCCAGTGTCTAGCTGCAACTAAGATTGAAATCTTGAATAATCTGTGTGTATAATTTTGCAGCCATAATTTCGGGAGGAAAATCAAGACACTGAAAGCTGCAGGAGCCATGGTTGTAGATTAGCCAAGATTGGGGAAGTAATGCACAATTTAAAAAACAAAACACCAAAAGATAGAGAAATTTCATGTTGGTTTTAGTGTATTCTTACAGCTGTTTTAGATCAATGGTGGACGCTCTCCACACGGATTGGAGAGAAGTAACCATTCCCAGTGATATGGGAGAGGATCTCTTGGATCATGTTGTTTGTCTTCTTCACGTAGTCTCGGGCATGGATTTCCTTGGACATCTCCCGGATCATTCTCGCTCTCATCCCATCAAACTTGTACTTGAATAGCGCGCAAAAGTTTCCACCTTCTTTAATTTGAATCCCATACCAGACCTTATCTCCCTTGCATTTTCTAGAGTTGCATAGGTCCTCAAGTCGCCTCATCATGTGGCATCTCGTCCCACCAATCACCACCAAGAGCTGGGCGTTCCTCTCATCATGATCATTGCAATCTCTTTTCTCCTGGATGCAATAGAGCTCCTGGGTGAGGAGCCTGTAAAGCTCTTGAGCTCCAGCGCAGTGGAGGTAGTCTGGTGTCAGTAGCTTGGACGTCGGTCGCGGCCAGAAGTCATGGAAATCTTGATGCCAAGTGATATCTAACCCATCAATCTTACATGCTACCTCCTTGCTGCTCGGATTGTTTTTCAAGATTCCCACTGCTCCCTGGAGGCGCTTTCTCTTTGGGGCCTTGGCCGCTTGTCCCTCCTCCTCTCGCTGCCTCTTCGTGTTCTTTCCCTTCTTGTCGCTGTTACCTTTGGCGCTCTCCATCGCTGCCACGCTATGAGCGTTGTCGCTGTCAATCCTTTTCGTCAAACCTAAAGGGTCTATTTATATGGAACCAGAAAAGGCAATTCACGAAACCCATAGTTTAAGCCTTTCAAGAAATTAGATGGTGAGAAGCGAGACGAAAGTCACCGAGAAGGTGGCCTTGAGAAAAGAAAGACAGCTATCTCTAGCACTTGCAAGGGATGGACTCGCCTTCGAGCTTTATAAGCAGCTTGGATCCTGAGCTTCCAATCCGTCGGCCATGGATCTCTATGACCTGGATCATTAGGAGTTTTCCAAAATTCACACATGAAACGATATGGAAAGCTAGTAAATACCAGTGTGAGCTCTCCCTTTTTTCCCATTGTCCACACCTATAGCATTGGAAGAACACAACTCTTAAGTTACATCTAGATGATGACGGGTTTACAAAATGTTACCTCGTCTGCAGTATGACTCTCCTTGGCCAAGTTATTGAGCTCGTGAAACAAGAAAAAATCGCAATGATGAGAAGAAAAGCTCAGCTGGAAAGATGTTACGGTTTCTAGTGTGATTCCTGGTAAGCAGTAATCTGGCGAGGGCGTCAAAACACGTCCTTTTTTCACCATTAAGTGTCAAACAGAAGAGATTATATGAATCTAGAGTGTTTCCCTCCACCTAGGAAAGGCGAATCTTCGAAAAGGACATCATAGATAAAACAGCTTTGCTTAAGTTTCTGAAGTATGTTGTTTATGAGATTGTTATGGTGAATCTTCAAATCTAGGCACTGTTTACAACAAGGGACGCAACAGAAGTTAAAAACCCAAAACCCAACAACCTTACTTACATTTGGAGAGTTTCTACATGATTAATCAAATTCCTCCACTGTTGTCATAAACTTGTGGCTTGCATTCAGTGACAACTGGATGTCATTCACACTATTTTTTTTTTTTCCATTTTGATTCACAGGAGTGTTCTGTTCTTACAGTCAATGGTAGATGCTCTTGGAATGCCTAGTGACCATATCAACCAGCCCAAGCGTTGGAAGTTACATCTTCAAGTAACACTCCTTCAACTTGCTTTAATCCCATTGGTAGGAAAGAGTAATTTCTATTAAAATTAAAAAATTTGTCTTTAAAACAGTAGCCATTTTTTCAATTAAATTATAAAAATATAATAAATATAATAAAATGTATTCTCAATGTTTAATTATTCATGAATAAAATTTATAAGGTTGAATGTAATTAGGTCTTTGCAATTATACTAGCATCTAACTCAAAGTTTTTATATGAGAAATAATATATAACTTCCATATTTAGTTCTATTTTTCTATCTCATATAGTAATTAATTGAATTTAAACATAAAACTATTATCAAACTTTGAATGTATTTTCTTCAGAAATGAGAGTGTACATAAATCATTTTTTATATCATCTATAGTGAGTGAAAATAAATATATTACTTGGGGTTTAGACAAGGATACAAGGATATACAACGATGGATGGACTAAATTCAATGCCAAATTAATAGTTTATATGTTATAGTACTATAATTAATATATTACTTAAATACACACACACACACACAAATATATATATATATATATATATATATATACACACACACACACGCACACACTTTACACCATTCTTCCCTCTAGAAGATGAAAAAGTGATAATGATAAATCAAGTGAAATATTCTGAGTTTTTGCTAAGTGATTATAAATTACCACAAGAATTGCTCCCATGGAACCACTAATGTAATTATTGACAACCATGACTGAAATAAAACCCAAAACCATAGCACAAACAACAATTTACTATGGAATTTTAATGAACCAATTATGACTCTATATACAACTAGTAAATGCTTGAACCAACCTTGAAGATATATCTTTGAACCAAAATAAAACACTTCAAAAAACACTGTAGTCCATAAAGCACTATTGTGGCAAATAATAAATTTTATATCTAAGTTAGCTTATTAATAATTCTCCAAAACCATTATTAATGTTGAGTAAGTGAATATTGCATAAACTACACTAAACATGTTTCTAGAAGCACAATCCAATTTCTAAGAATACTCAAGAATACCAATTCTCCAAAGGTATAGAGAGGTAGTATGCATGAGGTGGCAAGCCACATAGCAAACCATTGAAGAAGTAGATAAGTGTAAGGTGGCATACCATATGGTAAATCTTTAGAAAGGTGGTATCTTTAGCCTTCTGTATGATTTTGTGCAATAAAATATTTATTTACACTTTCTAAAAAGTGGTGAAAAAAGTTTAGGTATCAAAAATTACTTATTAATGAGTCATTTTAAATATTCTTCACTTATTACTATCATGATAGTAAATCAATATTACTAAACCCTTTATCAATCCTTTTTATACTAGTGGGTATAAGGATGGAATTCTTACAGGTACTAATTAAGCATTCTTAGCCCAATAAAAAGTTTGTATCTCATTATGTTTTGCATTAGCTAGTGACAAGAACTCTTATGTATTAAGCACTAATCCTTTAATGTTGCTATATGATAGTTTATCTAGTTTGTTGGACATCTTTGCTATTGTGATGTGTTAATCTCATAAATTATTTATGGAAAGTGTCTAGATTTGCCATTGAAGCATATCTATAGAATGTTTTAAATTTGTAAATGAAGCATATCTACAAAATATAAATAACATTATTTGGCTCCCCATTAGGTATATCTATCTTTGTTTAATGTCTGACTTGGGCTTAAAGCCCAATTTCATATGGTAGAGTACCTATATCTTTGTATTAAACCACTACTATATTGAAATCTAGCTCTATTTTACATATTAATCTTCACGTTTGTGCTCTAGAAATGTTTTAATATTACTTTATACTCCTGTTTTTTAGCTCTTTAACTATATGCTCAGGAGTTTAATAATTTTACTTTCAATGGTTAAAGCTCTAAAACTTTCCTTCTCTTGACATACATGCCTAAAAATTAGGTTTCCCTCCATAAAGCGTGAGAAAGAAAAAATCAACTTTCAACAAGATAATATATTCTATTTGAAAACATCAACAGTAATTAAGTTTTTTAATTATAATAATTAAGTAAACAAATCATGGATGTACAAAATTCCTTCTCATTTTACATTAGTTCTAATCTGCATGAGAACTGTTTACCGCTTACTGGCCCACTCATCTGGGAAAGGCATGCTGTTCTTAAGCTCGAGGAACAAGGAGAACATTACATGTAGAGATTCAATGCGGCTCTTGTAGCTGTTTGGAAGCAAGGAAAATAAGAAAGATAAAAAATCTCAATGCTTACTTACACAGGAATGTCAAGGATCGAGCAGCACACATCTGAAAATGTGCCAATGTCCAAGTCCAGCTTCTCTGTTGGCAGTTCAACGGCTGTAAGTATCTTCTCTAGTTCAACAGGCCATTCCTGAAAACTCCATTGTTACATCAGAATAATATAAAAAAGAAATGGGAGAAAACCAGACGACTCTACCTGCACGAGTTTGTCAATGCTAGGCATTGGCTTCGAGTATGAAACCGAAGGAGGCGGCTTACTTCGATGTAGCTCCTTGATACTGTTGATCCATGAATCCAGCTTTTTCGGATTCTTCTCGGGATTTTCGACTGATGCCACCTTGATCATCGACGTAGATAGTTAAAAAAGCAAAACAACGAAAAAGGAAAACATTATCACGTTTCATACTTGAAGGGGATGGAGGTTTGATTTCATCGATGAAGCCCGCAGCTGTAAGTTTATCACCGCAGGATCACTTTGCTTGGGTCCGCGTTCATCTAGAACCTGCGAAGCGAGTTAACAGTGAGTCCGGACACTAGAAGAAAAGAGAAAGGGATAAACTACTTTCAAACCAAGGAAGTCAGGCTGCCCATCGGGGCGTGGAATCTTGATAAATTCGTCCACTCCACCAACAGCCGGAATGAAGTCCGGAATAAAAGGTTTCAGGATTGTCCGCAGTTCCAGTTCCTTAGGCTTGTAGCAATGGATGAGCTGAAAGAGACCTTCGATCTCTTCACTAAGCTGCAAGAGAAAGGAAAATTTAGACAACGAGAAATGAATGAATGAATGAATTAAGCTATTACCACCGATCAAACATGTTCTTGTTGAAAACCATCTTACTTTGGAGGGCCGATTGCGCTCAATTGTTGCGGGATGGGATTTCTTCTGAGCTGGAAAATCACTAAACAAGCTATCGTTTGGATAGCTTCTGCTCGTTATGGAATCCTCTTCACTGCGTAAGAAAAACAAACACTCAACGCTCGCCTCCTCAAATCTTTGATTTTTCACCTGTTTGATTGGACGCTTGCATCCTTCTAACAAAAGAAGAAGATTTGATTCAGACAAAGTCTAGTGAGAATACTTAAAAAGGGGTTGTTACCTCGGGTTGGAAAAACATCTCAGTTCGAACACTAGCATCCGCAGGAGTTCTTTGCGATGATCTCCGGCTAAGGACCCGATCACCTACAAAGAAGAAAAAACCAGCCTCAAAACAATGGAGGAAATTCTCCAAACCTTCAGCTACACTGTTGTTCTCCTGGAAGCCAAACGCGTCTCGAAACCCCTTGGCACTCAAGCCGAACGCCTCCTCGAGCGCGCTCTCGGGGACAGCAAGCGAGCTCTCCCTGACCGTCTTTTCCGCGTCGCTCTCCTGCGATCCAGCGCCAATGTCCGATAGCTGCATTTGCGACGCCACGATCACATCCGAAAGCTGGAGCACGAAATTTCACAGGAGCTCAATCGCAGCCACAAAGAGGAGACTTACATCGTCCTCCTCCTCGTCGTCCAGGAGCAAGCCTTCGAAATCCGAGACACCGGAGACCCGCGATGACGCCATGCGCGATGAAATCTAGGGCTTCATAGGGAAGAAAGGATCACCATGGAATATTCTTCCATTTGAATTAGGCATCGCTATAGAAATATCCTTCCATCAGAATTCCCTTGCAAATATACAACAAAGCTCTACAAAATTTAGGCAAAACTGGGGGGAGCTACTTGGCCTCGTACCAGCTCTTTGCATGGTCAGCGTCCACGTCCAGATTTACCTTGAGGAAGTTCTCGCCCTCGAATGGAAACGACATACACTTCACGACTATCTCTTGCGCTTCTTCCACCGATTCCGATGGCCCCTCGAGTATCACTTCGTCGTGGACCTGTTTCCACCGCTTTTTGTCAATCCACAGAGATCGAGAAACTGGATACCTGAAGGATTAGTTTCCATCCCAGCTCTCGAAGCCTGGAGTTCCGGTCGATCTCCAGCATTGCGCACATAGCAACGTCCGCGGCACTCCCCTAGAATCGAAAGGATAGAGAAGATCAAGAACAGGACAGGAAGTATACCAGTGTACCTGCACAGGAGTGTTGATCGCAGCTCGCTCGAGGTGTCCGCGAAGTACCGAGATCGATGTGTTGATGTCCGGCAGATGCCGACTCCTGCCGAGCAACGTGTGCACTCGCTTCGTGATGCGTGCTCTCTCGATGGTATCCGTTTGCCATTCTTTCACTTCGCTTCTATCGTTGTACCAGAGGTCCAGGGTCTGCTGGGCTTCGTACAGGCTTACCTGCAGGAAAGAAGAATGAAAACAACGAATTGGAAGGAAACTGTGCTAACCTTCCAGTCCTTTGAAAGGCCCATGGCAGTTTTGCCGTATGCAATGGAGAAGTTGAGCATCTTCGCTTTCCTCCTCTCGCTACCGAATTTATCCTGCCAGTAACACAAGTTTTGGACTACCAAAAACTAGCGAACAGCAGTACCTTGAGTAGCGGGACTGGCGACTTGCCTTCCCCAGACCATTCCAGAAGGACTTCTCCGGTCTCTACAGCTTTGCGGACGTGAGGATACATGTTTAGCGCTGTTCTCGAATGGAAGTCACCACCAGCTTCGAACGCCTCCAGCATGCTTTTGCAGCCACTCATGTGAGCGAGGATTCTAAGTTCCAACTGTCCAACGAGATCGCAAACAACTATGAGGTTGAAGAAACAAACAAATATACCTGTCCGTAGTCCGCAACAATCAAAGACTTCCCAGGAGGGGCGATAAATGCTTTTCGGATTTTGTAGCGATCTTTTTCCAAAGCAGGTTGGTTCTGCAGACAAAAGTTACCACACTATGTTCAAGAAAGATGATCTTTGTAAACTTGCCTGTAAATTTGGTCTTCTAGCAGACAGACGTCCAGTCTCTGTGTTTATATTGAGGGAACAATGAACGCGACCGTCCGGACCAAGAATTTGGCCATTCTGTAGAGCACCGTTAATAAACAAAGCAATGATTGAAATAAAAGTATACCTGTAAAGGTTGGATAAAGTTTGATATTAGCGTATCGATGGAGGATAGCTCACAGAGCGCAGCAATTGCCATGCACGCCTTCTTGCCTTCTTCTCCACCCCCAAAAGCGCCATATGCTTTTCCATAAGCTGACAAGTCTTCACTTTTATCTCCGTCAGTCCCTTCGACACCACCGGATGTAATAAAAGTGGAAGCCTCGGGAGAGAATTCCGCCTCGTCCTCTTCTTCGTCGTAGTCTGTGACGACGTTGCCGGCAAGAGATTTCAAAACTGCACCACTGACCGCCGGCCAACCCGATGGAGTGAATGTTTCAACAGGAAGTTGGACGTCAATGCCTTCCAACGATATAGATCGATACTTTTTCACGGTCTTCGCACCCGGTTCTAGATAATTATCGGAGTTTGGAACTTTGAAAGTCCGCTCTTTTGGGTACGAAACTGAAGGATCCTTTCTGCAAAAGGGAAATGGTAATTAAATGAATGAATCACGAAAAGCGTTGGAGAAGCTTACTTGTTAGAAGTTCCCCCGAACAAAATTTGTCGAATTTGGACGTCACTGCAAACATTCATGTACATTGCGTCGGGGCAGTACTGAGAAGCCCATTTCTGGAAGCGGCTTACGGAGAGCTGCTTCTGATTAAGCGCAACCTTCTCAACTTCCGCAAGATGTACTGTGTCAACCCGCATGCCTTCGGCTTCCATTTGGACGAGAACATCTCCGAAATGCCGCCAGTAGAGTTCGTAAAACTGGTACATGTTACCCCTCTTATCGCCTTCCATATACCATGAAGCCTTCTGCAGCTTCTTCTTGAGCGATGACCACAAGTGCCATGTACAAACCGAGTCGTGCGCCGAGTAGTAAATCCATTTGTCACGGGTGTCTTTTGACGTTTGGAGCTCTTCCACGGGTGGAATAACCTTCAGCTTCCCTTCACTGCCATCTTTCTTCACGTTTGTAATTGCGAACAGATCCTTCATCGACGTCTTGCCATTCTGTAATGGCCTGTCGTCCATAACCTTCGGATCAGCGGTCAGCGCTTCCAGCGAATAACCAAGTCCTCCCCGTGCAGAATCCCAGAGGCGGGCAAGGTGCATCGTGTCGGCATAAAAACCAGCAGCTTTGATACCATAGTTCCCGAGAATGTGCTTATCAAAGCTGTAGTTGTGCCAGATCTGCAGAAACAGGACATCGTAAGAGACATTACGGGTTTTTTTTGTTTTTTTTTATCAAATACCTTTTTGATTTCTGCGTTCTCAAAGTAAGGCCTGAAGACATCCAAAATTCCTGGTCCACCATTGAGCAAATCCACCCAGACTCGGGACTTTCCACCACCGAAGTCCACGTTTACTCCGCAATAGATGCTGAAGCACGTAAGCTTTCCATGACCAACGGGACTCTCCTTTTTGACATCAATATCCGCAACCTGCATGAAGGAGAAACAGCTCGTTAGCAGGCAAGCGGAGGTAAACAGACCAGAACCAAATACCTCTGTGTCACAAGCATGAACTTCATCCTTATACTTCTCCATCAGCAGCTTCACCACCTTCTCTGCACTCTTCTCGTTTTCTACTACGAGAATGTCGTCATTCAGGGTGATGTCCCACGTAAACACTGGTGCTGCCTTTTTGTTCAGTGGGATTTGAGTCGGAAGCCGTCTCTTCGGCTGAATAGCTGGAGGCACAGTCCGAGCTTGTGGTGAAGGCTTTTGCACCACTGGTTGAGGTGGAGGAGGAGCTGGTTTCGTCTGTGTCTCTGCCGCATGAACTTCGACTTTCCTTGCGGTTCGACTCTTCTCTTGTAGCAGGCTTCCATTTTGTGGAGCACATCTGGGCTGAAACTGAGGAACCTGTCTTCGTGGGAAACTTACAAAGTTCCTCTGCGTGAACTCCGGAGCAGCAACACGGGGCTCCACAGGAGGGGGATGAGTTAGCAAAGAATCACTGTAATTCTTCTGCCTGGATATGGACGCGCTCTCCGAGCGAGGTGGCGTTGCTCCGGGTGTTTCCTTGGTAGTACTCGAACTGAATGGCGACTTTCCTTTTGGCTCTTGCAGCGAGATAGTGTGCCTCACAGGGACTTGAATGCTGATCGAATTGGCATAGTATTTCTCTCTGTAAAGCCTGCATTTAACAAAGCGCCAATAAGAACTAGAAAACTTTCGAGAAAACTGGGAGCGTACCGAAATAACGCAAGCTCTTCCTCTTCTGGCGCTGGGAGAGTCTTCACGGGCACTGCTGAGAAGGATTGCGAGCACGATGAGGGGCGAAATCGCGAATTTCTCCCAGGAATCGCCGCGCTGCTGCTTGGCCATGGCGGCACTGGTCCTATCGCTCCTAATGCCATTCTTCTCACACTCACCGCTCTCCACTTCCAAGCGCTGGCCCCAAACATCCAAGGCGCTGCTGCTGCTTCATGAAGAACGCCAAAACCCCGAGGTTAGGGCTCTGGGGTTTAACTCCATTCGTTTTTGCGAGAACTGCGGGCATAAATCCACGTTGGCGTGATAACTCCACGTGGCGATATACCACTGGTATTTAGCCGTTTTTACTAGTGAGGAAGAACCCTAAAATCTCCTCCTAGGGTTCTTCCAAATCGCGAGAGAATGCTGCGATCAGTTCACTGCACTGGACGGATTGGAGGCTGCCTGGCGGAAGTAAGTCGATTACCGGTGGATAATCAGCATTTTGATCGTTTTCCTGGCGTAGGATCGAAATTTCTCTTTTCCGGGCTCGCGCAAGCTGCCACCGCGGAGCGCCCGCCTGTCTTCCAGATTTCGATCTTCACCAGCACAGCCGATTCGAGCCTTAGAACAGGATTTACAACACCAGCGCCTCGACATCGAGGAGGAGAAGAGATCGGGGGGTTTCTTGGAGCGCCTGGCCCGTGCTTGGGAGATCCTCTTCCCTCCAGAGGATACAGCCGCCGCCAGGCCCTTCGCGTCCAATGCCGAGATCGCCAAGCAGCGGCTGAAAATGATCCTCATCTCGGATCGCTGCTCCATCACCGACGACGCCAAGAAGAAGATCGTGACCAACATCGTGGGCGCCTTGGCCGACTTTGTGGAGATCGAGTCGGAGGAGAAGGTCCAGCTCAACGTCCTGGCCGACCCCGAGCTTGGGACGGTCTACTCGGTCACGGTCCCCGTGCGAAGGGTGAAGCCGGAGTACCAGGAGTTTAGCAAAGAGATCGAACAAGGCCTGGAGTACCAGCCCGTGGGTGATAGCGGAGCCCGCACAGTGGCGATCAAGCTCGAGGAATCGTGACGAGGTACGATTAAGGTTCTAGACTTTTTCACATCGTGGCAAGACCAGAGAGGGGTGGTGGTCATCTTATTTCTTCCAGGGCAGGCAAGCACTTGAGAGTCTTGAGAGACTGCGCAGAGATATTCGTGAGATCTTTCATAGGAGCTTGGCCATTGTTATATAGAAACAGGGACAAAAGCGATGAGAAATCGGTGAGCTCGTTGTTTGTGAGCATGAAGCGTCGTTTTTCATGCCAGGAAGGAGAGGCATCGGTGAAGCTGAAGTCGAGGTTGTGTTCGTGGCCTTGCTCGCGTCGCAGCTCTATATATCTCGAGCTTTAGTCGGATCGATTCTTTTTTAGCTTGAGCGCTCGCGAGCCCAAGTCTCATGAAATGTTGTTCCTTGGACAGAAAAGAAAGAGTTTTCTCTTGCTAGCTTAAGCATCGGCTGCGCTTTTTATGGAGAAATCCTAGTACTATAACATCCCCCCTAGAGCTTTGCCACCTTGATTGTTGCTCCACAGTTACCTCTGTCCAATAAAATGATCAAGGCCACGCCTTCCCAAGAGCGCTCTTGATCGAGCAAAAACATTCTTGATTGAGCAAAAGCATTCTTTTGTATTTGTCTTTCTTTTGGACTAGTTTCACTGTACACAAGGGGAATTGATTTTGCTTGCCCCAACTGAGCAGCTTTGATGCGCAGCATTTTATGAAGAATGTGGTTAGCAGTGTAGTTTTGTCCAGCTAAAGATTGGCCACTGGAATTCTTGTTATAATTTCGAGTTTCTTCTGTATTTTACTTCCTGATACTTGCCAACAATACAGACTAATAGTTGCACATCTACAACAATAAAACGATAGAGGCCGGAGGCTCGTGGCCGTCAGATCGCAGGTCCGGGGTAGCCATGGTTATGGTAAAACTTTTCTTGATGGTTGTTAGACTAATGAGAGTAGCACATCCTGCATGCTCATTGGGGGAATTTGACACAAGATAAAACGGGATTTTGGGTGCGGTGTGCTCGCGTGAGAGAAGCGTCCACTTCTGGCGCGAGCGGATGCTTTAAAAATTCTTTAGTCTCATGACAAAGAAAACCAAATGTTTGGCCAACACACAGGCTGGACAACATATTAGTTAAAACAGCAAAGAGAGAAACACTCTGCCTATCTTCTCCTTTGCCTGCAATCCAGCATGGAAGAGGACAAGGGCACTTGACAACTGGCTGTGCGAGGTTGGCCTTTACAAGTTCTCCATCATCATGGAGAAAGATGACATCACAAAGAAGATGCTTCTAGCTTTTTGAGAAGAAATGGTGTGTGCCCAAGAACATGAATATATCTTCATCACGGGCTACATCGCATGGGTCTTCAAGCTTCCAATCAGCAGAAAGCAAGTCACATCCATATTGTGAACAAAAGGGATGCCACCGGGATGCATCAAGATCATCGAGAATTAGAACTCTGGAAGCTCACTTCAAATGAGCAATGCCACCAACGAGGCAAAGCTTAGGCTCAAGTTCCTCATCTCAACTCTCAAGATGTGCAAGTCAAGCAGCTCTACCAGTAAAGCTATTGCAATCCTCTACAACATCTTGCAACACAAAATCAAAATGGACATTGTAAGCTACCTCTACAAAAAACTCATCAAGAAAATCCACTTGGCTATGAAAATAATCCATAATGGCCAAAAATGTGAAACTCTTACACTCCTCTACATTGTCGCACTTGTGCTAGCTCTTGACTCAATATTTCCACTCAGCCTGAAAGTACCTCCAACAACACTATAGGTAAGAAGGAAGTGAGAATGCAAGTCAAAGAGGAGAGAAGATCCACTCCACAAATCTGATGAAGAAGACGAAAAAGAGGAAAAAGAAGAGGATGAAAAGGAGCTTTCACCACCGACAATGACACCATTGGCAAAAAGGACCAAGATAACAACAATCTTGCCTCCAAAGAACAGGACAAAATCAACCACAAGCCAAATCAAAAGCATCATCTCCAAGGAAGAACTATAGGAGAAGAGTCAGAAACAAAGTCAACAAATTAATCTTGACTCTGTAACCACCTCAACCAATGGTGTAGCAGTTCATGCTAAGAAAGAAGGGCCAACATCCCCACCCATTGAAAAGAATTGCCAGTTGATGACAGCACCATGCCGCAGCACCACAAGCACCACAGCAGGGAGCATCCAGACTAGGAATGATGTAGGGAGCCAGAGAAGGAGCAATGACATGAACTAGAGTTGCCACACTGGCTGCTCAGCTTGGTCTAGTTTTTTTATGAAGTCCAGCGCCTCCAGCCAACACCACAGATGCCAATCCATGGCAGATTTTGCAAGGCAGTTCCAGAATGAACAAATGAGTACTTTTCTATGTGACAGAGTGTAGGCCATGATCAATGCTATTGTCTTCCAATCCCTGGACACAAAGCTCAATAAGATCCAAAGCAACATCCAGTAGCTCAAAAGGAGCATTTGAGGTATGTCCTTCTAGAGGATAGTGTGTGTGGAGACATAATACATCAATGACCATTTCGCTAAAGAAAACATGGAGCTCCACAGTGAGATCTACACTCTTAAGGAAAAGCAGTCTGCAATAATGGAAGATGATAATGAGAGTGAGCATGACAATGACGAGGAGTTCCACCAGCGACTCAATAAGTTCAAGGTTGAACTCACAGGAAATCCAATGCCAACAAAGTCAACTGATGCGATGGAGTAGTAGGAGCCTCAAGACAAAGCTTTGTTCAGTCCTGAGAGAGTGAAGTACTATAAATTAACCATGCATTTGAGCATGTTCTTGATAGTCAGGATTACAACCTTGACACTCAAAGTTATGACCTTGACACTCTCTTCTTTGTTGTAGGCTCTAGTGTTTGTGGATGTGAAGGACCTAACTATATATTATTTACCCAATGCAGATATGGAGGTACACATTGAGCCTGCTAACTAGCCTTGTCTCTCAGCCCCCGGATGATGAAGAGAGTCCAGCAGGCCTGTCCGCCATCGCCAAGCTCTTCTCGCGATCTAATTAATTTGTGTGTTTAGTAGCATGTTCTAGGGTGAGAAATATAGTGCCAATGCAAGTACAATGACATTGAAAGCCCTTTGGTTTTTTGTAACCACTACAGCAAACCGTTATAACTAATTCTACATTGAAATCCCTCTCACACTTGCAATAGAATTGCAACTTGACTTCACCAAATTCTTTTAGTTTTTAAACTTATAAAGCCATTTGTCTTGTCCAAAAAAAAGTAGCATATTGAACATCAAATATAATAGTGTTCTATGCTTTCAAATAGTCTTGCTATGTCATAAATAAAATCTTGTAAAAACATGTGGCATTGCTTTTGAAACACTAGAGGGAATCCCTCTCTAGTAGCAAGATCCAGAATTTTATATATAGGGAGCTCTAGTTGAGCTTCACTAGAACCCCTAGTAGAAAGGGGATTGTTATGTGGAGATGAAAGTGGAATGTAAGTAGAATTTTAGGATGGAGATGAGGATTAATATGAAATGCTAAAGGGCCAAATACGAGTAGTAGTGACTTTCCTTTGAGCCATTTCTATACAAACTTCCAAGGAGCTCAAGGAGAACAAAAAAATTACAATAACTATAATTTTTCAAAGTAGTTTTCATACTAAGTTTTAGTCTTGGGAATGAGGTTTATTTATTATGACACTGACAATACTTAAATTCTTGAAATGTCAGTCTTAAAAATAGGGCTTCATAATCATAACTTGTTTATAAACAGAATTCTAAGCTATAGTGTATACATATACTCTATCATTATGGTGAAATCTTACTTCACTATACATATATTCTTTTCTATACATACTAATTTTCTAGGGAAATAGACTACAGGGAAATATACACTACATTATAATGGCAGAGCATGCTAGCACGATGCCATTCTCTCATGTGAGATTGCCTTTCAGTCTTGGAAATGTAGGTAGAGTTGATTCTTTGATGTGATATCACTTTTGAGTCTTTCGAAAGATTTCGATTTCTTTTATTATTATTCACAAACAATTCCTAAAACTTTTTATTGAGGATTCACTACAAAAATATACCTTAGTCTTTTTATATGGGAGGATTGTCAGGCAACAAAGTTCTTGATATAAACTAATATATAAATTACAAATGTCATAAAAAGTTTTATAGAGTAGATTTCTTGGTACTTTTTGCCGTATTATTCATTTCTTCATTTCTCTTGCTTTAAATTGTTGTTTCAAAAGTAGCAGGAGCATTTTTATCAATCATGATAATGGTCTCCATATTCTTAGATGGGTAATAAGGACAAGAAGTGTAATATGGAGATTGTGTTAGTGAAATTAAATTAACATTCTCACATTTCTTTGCACTCCAACTTTTACTCATAGATTTTTTATTTTCATTGCTTATCATCTTCTCAAGAACCCTAAAAAATTCTTTTGAATGAGGAATAGTATGTACAATTGTAAAATTAGTTAAAATATCAAGTAGTCAAATCAAAATTTGACAATTGTAGCAATGTCATAATAAAATAATATATCTTTACAAAACATAGGTTCTTATGAACTTTTTTTTTAAAATGACTCAATATTATAGAAATTTTTAACTCAGATATTTATATATTTCAATATTTTAAAGTTGGCTAGAACCTTCATTTCTTCAATTTAGATTTCCTTCATAAAACTTTTAGTTGACTATGTTGACTTGAGTTAACTTATGCTGAATTGTGACCTCAACTCAACTTTGGACCATCCCCTACCAAGGATGGGCACAACAACAATATGATCATAACAAAAAACGCAATCTAATAAAGTAGTATAAACTCCTTCAAATGATATACTCTTTAATTGATGGTGTAGCATAGTAAAAAAAGAAAATGCCATGTAGAAAGAAAAGGAAGAATAAATATAATAACTATAATCCTAGATCTAGAGAAAAATTAACATAAATCTATATCTAAAAAAGAATGAAGGAATAAAAAAAAGCATAATCCAAAATATTGAATAAAGCATTATCGAAAACATTTGCTTTATAGGGATAATTTGTAATACCCCTCACTTTCACCAATGTGAGTGCTTGGGATATAAAAATAGGTATAGTAATTAGGGTACTTATATATAAGAATAGATAGACTTTGAATTGACAATTCATATACTATAGTACAATAATTTATATATTACCTATATAATATATATATTATATAGGTTTTCTTAAGGAAACTCGTATGGGGACTGAAATGGTAGTGGATATATCTAGAATATGCTTGGATATTCTAGGATATTCTACCATCTAAAGGTAGTTATTCATTTAGATTAATTTTATATTTATAATTTAGAAAAAATTTTAAACTCTTTCTAGTATATTATTTTTTATTCTACCATCTAATGGTTGATATGGAATAAGATTAATCTTGTGTTTAAACATGCTTATAATTATAAACTTTATTTGATCAATTGGATTAATAAGTAGAAATAACACTACTATTAAGAAAACCAAGTGTTGCTAAATGCAACACATAA